ACCCTTGGGCACTGCAGGCAGGTGCCACGGTAATTTTTTTAGGTGTACATTTAATCCAATGAGTCCTCAGACGGACGCTGCTTTTTAAATAGTGGAAATGTCTGGCCGACCCCTATCATCACGGCAGCGACCTCTTATTAAACATGGACCGTGTGCGAGTGACGTGGCAGCAGGCACTGTATTTACTTCCCCAGTCCTCCCCTCTTCCCCACAATGAGTACACTATCGTCCCATTTGGCAAAGAACACCGACCATCTGGCAAGCCCTTGGCCTGAGCCACCAGGGGTCGGCAGGAGGGCACAATCCGAACACGCCACGCTGATTCTGAGACAAAAGGGCACGGAGAACACGCAGTGAGTACTCCTTCTGCACCAGACGACCACGGTGGCATCAACAGAGAGTGAGTACTCCTTCTGCACCCAGAGGACTACTGTGGCATCAACAGAGATGGTGTTTGGAGGCTCCAATCAAGTGCTACAGAAATGTTGGTTGGGGGCTACCCATGTGGCTCCCCTGAAGCCCACTCCCTCCCTGGAGAAGTTCTTTGCACGAAGCATTGGTTTGGTTCAGCAGTTAAGCCACAATCAACATGGTTTAAGAAGCAAGCGCTTGTCCAGCTCACAGTCCAAACCAACCAACTCTCCTGACCATTATCCCCAAGTCCAAAATGGATGCTTGCAGCACAGAGGGGCCGGTGGGGAGGGATGCAACTCCTGGGAGCAGAGCTGAGGGGTGAAACCAGGGGACAGGAGCAGTAACAGCTCCTCACATATGAGAAAATCCCGACGCTGATTTCTTGCTGGCCTCCCAATGCCATTTTCTAAGCATTCCTTTTTATCAGAGCAAAACATGAAAGAACAAAGACCCAAAAAATATAATAAAGCCTGGCTGATGATTTTAAATACTGGAGTAGGATGCTTGCCATGTGTTTAATCTTAGCCAGAGTGTAATTTTGCTCAACATTCCAAGCAAAATCTTTGTTTTGATCCTTAGCATAAAATGCCACCCAGTTCCTAATTATCTGACATGCTTCTTTCTATACGATGGTAATTATAATATAGCAAACTAATGAGTAATGGATGTACACATTTCCCTGAGATTGTTCTCCACTTGTCTGATACAGAAAAATTAGTCATTAAGCTTTCTTACATAATTTCCCATTAAAATCCGCTTCATTTCCTGCCTGCCACAAACATTTGGATGTATCTTCGTTAATTTTTTAAAAATTAAAGTCAAAACCTCTTTCATCAGAATGTGGCTGATGATGGTTTTTAGCGAGCTTGACCATTTCTGGTTTTTAATGAACTATTACTGGATTTTTAAAAGATGTTTTCTTAAAATAAAAACATCCACAGCAGAGCTGTAACTCCACACATCCGTGACTCTCCTAACTTAACGCGGTCATGACTCCTTCCACATCGACTCACTCCCCACTAAACACGGTTGTGGGTTTTTTTCCTTTATAAAAATCTATAGCAAGTTATTGATATTGACTGATTGATTTTTTTTTCCCCTTCAAACAAAAGCATGACTAGTCTGAAGCATCAATGACAGAATCAAACCAAGGAGAGCGAAAGCCACAATTTCCAACATACAAAAATAGCACTGGGTGGGTAACAAAGTAGCCCATGGCTGTTCAGTCACTGGTAAGGACCACGGCCAGCCATGCACCGGCTGCCAGGAGGGAATGGCACGGCTCACTGTCCACTGCAGCCACAGCCACGCTGCACCCACGTACCAAACAAAGGGTAAGCTGAGGCAGGCAGGAGCTCTTGGTTTTCTTTTCACTTCTTTTACAGCATTAACTTATGACATTTTTTATTTAAAGCATCCAAAGAGTGTTTTTAACAGAGTTTGAGATGAATCAATCTCAATACATCCATGATTAAATATCAAGCAAACATTAAAAAGAGTTTATGAAAAGCTGAGGACACAGAAAAATGTCGCTGTAGTAGTAGGAGAAAAACTAGACAAACCACTGCATATGTGACACATACACAACCCTCATAAAACACAAAGGTAGGGCAGGTGCAGTGGCTCATGCCTGTAATCCTAGCATTTTGGGAGGCAGAGGCAGGAGGATCGCTTAAGCCCAAGTCTGACACCATTCTGGGTGAAACCCCATCTCTACAAAAATACAAAAATCAGCTAGGTGTGATGGCGTGGGCCTGTAGTCCCAGGTATTTGGGAGGTGGAGGTGAGAGGATCACTTGAGCCAGGCAGGCAGAGGTTGCAGTGAGCTGAGATCACACCATTGTACTGCAGCCTGGGTAAGAGAGAGACCTTGTCTCAGGGAAAAACAAAAAAAAAAAAAACAAAGGTAGAAAAAAAAACCATCCCCAAGAGTAACAGCAGGTACCTCCAGATGGACGAATTATAGGTGACTGTTTTCTTCTTCTTTATAGTCTTCCATAGGAGCATATAACACGCGGATACGGTTTTAAAAAGTTAAACTCATTTCCTGCAAAATCTACTTTTTGTGATCAACTCTACCTTTTCTCCTGTATTTTCGTTTTTAGAATTCTAAAACTTAAACATGAGTCTGCCAGGTGTCCGATCTAATGGGGACAGCCACTTCCTAGGGCTGGAGTCCCTGCTTGCAATTTAAAAGCAAAGCTAGGCCGGATGTGGTGGCTCACGCCTGTAATCCCAGCACTTTGGCAGACGCATGGATCACCTGAGGTCAGGAGTTCAAGACCAGCCTGACCAACACAGTGAAATCCCCGTCTCTCCTAAAAATACAAAAAATTAGCCAGGCATGGTGGCAGGCGCCTGTAATCCCAGCTACTCTGGGAGGCTGAGATGGGAGAATTGCTTGAACCCAGGAGGCGGAGGTTGCAGCGAGCCAAGATCGTGCCACTGTACTCCAGCCTGGGTGCCACAGCAAGACTGTCTCAAAAAAAAAAAAAAGGCAAAGCTACCAGAGAACCAAAGGTATCCCAATTCCCTTGTCCCATTGGATGTGGCACAAGCGAGGACACATGCACGAATCATTACCAAATTTCGAGGCCAAAGTGGCAGGTGACATGGGAGCAGGTCACTCATGAGCTACAGGACATGAAAAGACTGATGCAGAGACGAGGACAGGAAGCCACGGAGCAGGGCGGAAAGGATGGGCAGTGAACACTCAACACCATGGATGATAGGGAGAATCCAGGAGCCAGAGTCTGCCCAGCTAGAAAAGCCATAGGAAGCAGTGAGACCTCTTCCATGCACGTGACCAGCAACGTGAGGCTGGCTGCAAAAGTGCCAGTCATCTCATGAACTGCAAGATGAAGCACTGCCTCCCAGCAAAAAGAGGAGCTCTAGCCAGTGAAGAAGAGCCCAGAGGTATCACTGGACCAGGAGAATCCGCTGTGATCCCAAAGTTAGCCTCCTTGTGCTGAGTCTAGATTTGCGGACACGTGCATTAGCAGATCTGTGCTAAATACCCCAAATCTTTATTCAGCTACTGGTTTTCTCACTGTACTTCCTAAACTGAAGTGGAAGTCTGTGGAGACCGCCGAGAGCCTTTGGGTTGGCCAGTGCCCTGCTACCCTCATCCGGTGTTGACTGGCTCAGCCCCAAGGACAGCAGGTGTACAGGGCCTCCCACAGTGAGGGAAGAGTCAGCCCTCAGGAGAAACACGGAGGAAGGAGACTGAGGTGGGCACACACCATCCTCCCCAAAGATGCCCAAGTCCTAACCCCCGGAACCCGCGACTGTGACTTTACATGATAAAGAGGCACTGTCACTGTGATTAAGTCAGGGATTTTAAGACAGGGAAATTATTCAAGATTATCCAGATGGGCCCAGTGTAATCACAGGGGTCCTTTTCAAATGAAAGAAGAAAGCAGAGGAGCTGGAGAAAGGGACATCAGGATGGAGTGGAGCGCGGAAGAAGGGATCGGAAGACGCCACGCAGCTAGTTTTGAAGACAGAGGAAGGGGCCATGAGCCAAGGAATGCGGGCAGCCTCTAGAAGCTGGAAAAGGCAAGGAAACAAATTCTCCCCTAGAGCCTGCAGAAGGAATACAGCCCAACCAACACCTTGATATTAGGAGCTGACCTCCACAACTGTAACAGAATAAATGTGTGCTGTTTGAAGCCACTGCATCTGGGGTAACCTCGTACAGCTGCAATGGGAAACGGACACCGGGACCAAGATCACAAGGGCTCCCGTGAAAGCCCTTGTAACTACTACCTATCTAAAGCAAAAGCACAGTCTAAGGGGATATCACATGGCACATATGACAAGTCAACAGTACATCAAAATCTTTCAATCCTGAGTTCAGATACACCAAGACTGGGAATGAGCTCAGCCTCTGTAGCAGCTGGCTCTGGTCAGCTCGTGAACCTGCATTTGAGGTTAACTGCAGCTGTGGGATGATCACCATCTTGTAGTCCTATGGGGGGTTTTACTGTCACTGGTACAAGACTCCTCAGTACACTGGTACAAGACTTGTACAAAACCATACAGAAGCTTTAGACTGTAAAGCCTCCAACAAGCCTTATCGTAACCTTTCAATCTCCAGAGGACAGGTAGTTGTCGAATCCCATCCTCATCACCCAACAAGGTGGACACTGCCTTTGCCCAGCCCAATTCTTGCACCAATCCAGCTCCGAGCCCTCCTCCCAACCACTCAGGCTGATGGGCCTGGGGCCTGGATTTCTGCCCACCCAGCTTCACTTTTCTCCTCGGCTGCCCAGCCACTGCTTCCAACATTCCCAACAGACCAGAGCTGAGGATTCACATGCAGACAAATGTGTGTACCTCACACGGGGGGTCATCGGTGGGGGCCAGGTTAATACAGTCATGAAATAACCTCAATGTGGGGGCTCACTGCTCCCTTCCAGGTCCTGGATTCTGTGATGTGGGGAGCATGAGCTCTCAAGCGCTCTGTATTAACTGGAGTCTCACGCTGACTGCACAGCTGTCCCCTGTCCCACAGACACTCCGCATGCTTGCGAGATCTGTACCTCCTGCCAGTTCAATCCCCATCCACAGGCTCTAAGATCAGGCACCCCTGGACACCAAACCTGGATTCGCCATTTGCCACTTTAATCCTTACAATGGCAATGACAGCATGGATTCAGTAAATTATTATAAGAGGTCACCAATGTACATAAGATACTTGGCAACAGTGGCTGTCCACTAAATTGTGGCTATGACAACCATCAGCACAAAGCAGCCTTCAGCATACACTGTAAGACTAGTTCCCTGGGAGGACTGAGATCAACTTTCCACCACAGGAAAGGACCGGCGCCAAGGCAACACTTGCACGGCCACAGGGGCTCTGTCACAATGCAGCTAGGAAAGTAACCAGACAGCAGAGGTGCGGCCTAGGGGCCAGGGAGCTAGAGTCACGAGCAAGGGGACCTGGTGTTTTGTGGCTCTCAGAAACAACTGGCACCACAGAGAAGGAAAGAGAGAAGACACACAGCAGGAGAAATCAAGTAATAACCAATAGCCAGACGATGATCACAAAAATTCACCCCACTGGCTGGGGGCGGTGGCTCATGCGTGTCATCCCAGCACTTTGGGAAGTCGAGGTGGGTGGATCACCTGAGGTCAGGAGTTTGAGATCAGCCTGGCCAACACAGCAAAATCCCATCTCTACTAAAAATACAAGATTAGCCAGGCATGGTGGTGCATGACTGTAATCCCAGCTACTCGAGAGGCTGAGGCAGGAGAACCGCTTGCAACCTGGGAGGCAGAGGTTTCAGTGAGCCAAGATCACGCCACTGCAGTCCAGCCTGGGCAACAGAGTGAAACTCTGTCTCAAAACAAACAAACACTTAGCCCCACATACAAACGCACACAAGAGAAGGCTGGAGAGGTATGGTCTCCCAGAACTACTATACAAAACAAGCTGAGCAGACACTGTTTGTTGAGAAGCCAATCTTCCACTGACTAAAGGAAAATGACGATCTCTCTGACATCTCGCCATACGCAACTCCCACACTGTGCTTCGACTCTTCCCTGCATTTCTGTCATTTTTCCATCTCACTCTGTAATTCTAGATCCGAAATCAGCCAAAAGTCCATAATTAATATCCTTATAAAGCATAAGAAATAAAAATAAAACCGTCGGTGGGAGGGGAGGGGGCAGGGGATGGAGCCTGAGTGCACAGATGGTGGCTGGAGCAGGGCTTGCTGGGGTGAAAGAATTCGTGCGCTCCAGCAGCCTGGCATGGCTCAGGAATGCCAACCACGCGGCCAGGCTCCCCCTAAGATGCAAGGTCCTGAATGTGGGGGGATGGGGAAGGAGGTCCATTCTGCTTGGAGGGTAAATTGGTACAAACTTTCTGGAACAATATGCTATCATTGTTAAAAACAAATTTTTGACAGACCAATTTTTGACAGATCCAGGACAACATCACAAAGAGCCTAATGAGGTTATCATGAAAATATCCTCACTGCGTTGCTGAGAATAGTGAAAACTGAGAAACGACTTACGTGTCCAAAGAAGTGTGGCTAGTTAAGAAACATCTGTGTACTCGAGACGATACAGACAGAATTTGGTGAAGATGCTCTACTTATTATACTGCTAGGTGTGAAACGCAGGGCGTAAGGCTTATGAATACTTTTATACAAAGGAGCCTCTCTGTTCTAAGGTGTGCACGGGAGCAAGTAAAGAACATCTGTAATGACAGACACAAGAATTAAAATATCGCGTCTTGAAATGCCAGGCTGTGAGCATTTTTTTCCGCCCTGTTTCTACTGTGAATAATCCTACAATGAACACAAATTATAGATGTTTAAAGTAGGCCAGGAGCGGTAGCTCACTCCGGTAATCCCAGCACTTTGGGAGGCCAAGATGGGCAGATGGCTTGAGCAAAAGAGTTCGAGACCAGCCTGGGCAACGTAGCAAGACCTTGTCTCCACAAAAAAATGAAAAAAAAAAAAAAAAAAAAAAAAATATATATATATATATATATTAGCCAGGCACAATGGTGATGCCCGTGGTCCCAGACACTCAAGAGGCTGAGGTAGGCGGATCACTTGAACCTAGGGGGTCGAGGCTGCAGTGAGCCATGATCGTGCCCCTGCACTCTAGCCTAGGCAACAGAGTGAGACCATGTCTCAATCAATCAATAAGGTAAGTAAAGTCTGTTTCAAAATAATAGAACAGCCCTGACAGGCACAGGAATGGAGTATGATTTTTCTGGTGTTTTCCCCATTTATTAATAACTGCGTGATTTAGGTCAATTTAAGTGTGTAAGCAGCCCTGTCTCCACACTGAGACGCTTGCCTGGCCAGTGTCTTCATTCCGCTCCCTGAATCCTCCTCCTCTCATCACATGTCATCCACCATTTCTCATTTCCAGGGGATTTTCCAATATCCCATCCCTTATCTATTTCTACTGATTGCTGTATGTCATGGACAAAATATTAACTTGTCACAGGACAACTACTGGTTCATTTTTGCTTGATACAGCTTCACGGAAGACTCTGAGTTTGCCAGTGTTTCCATCTCAGAAGAAAAACAAGACTAGAATGTCTCCACCCCAAAAGTGTGGAGATAAATCCTTTCCAAAACAAAACCACCATATCTGGTCCACTATTTCATTCCATCTGTGGAAGTTTTCCTGTTTGTTTCTGGACACAACCCACCCACATATGATTTGAGAGAAAAGTTGGTATTTTGACTTTTAGGTTTATCATAAATCATAACTATTCTGAACCCGAAGAAGCAACAAGCACCTCAAATTTCCAACCTCAGGGTGGCAATGACCTTTTACTCATCACCCATGTTGTTCAGGTCCTCATCAGTATATCCCTTTGATATTAATGTATACACAGTAATTCTGTAAAGTTCTTATTACTTGTGAAAACCTTTTTTAATTTTTAAGGTTTTTTTTTTTTTTTACTTCTCCAAATAATTCATTCCTTGTCACGCTAACTTATTCACTAGAGGCTTGTTAAATCTTTTTATGTAATGAGATTTCAAGAGGAATAGTCTACAATTTCAAATGATTTTCTAGGTGCAAAAATAAAAATCTAATTCACAGTCTCCAGTCTCCGAGTAAACAGGTATGAGTTATAAGCAAAGGGAAGTCACTGGAAGAGACAGGCCAAGACATCTGTGGTGCACCAAAGCCCTTCCCACACCCTCCCCCCTGGAAGACCACAGGACCAAGAGCACAGCTGGTCTGCAGGTTCCTGTCAATCAGGAGAACCCAGATATGCCTCTGAATTCATCTGGCTGAGTGGCCTCTACTTTGAAAAAAGCCATCCGGATACAACTGCCTCTCAGTTCTCCACTTTATAAATCAGTCCTCTCTCCTGTAATGGAGACATTTGCTTAAGATCACATCAATATCTCCAGTTTCCAAAGAGGCTCTGACATACAATACAAATTTAACATTAAACAGTTACTGCCCCAAAAGAGAGAAAGTAAATGAAAGTAATCAATCTCAATTTTCTGTGCTAAATTTCATGCCTGCCCCACGTACTAACCGTAAGAAATTTAACCCTGACATTTTAAGGTGACATTCAGATACTGCAGACTAAGGAGGAACACACGATACATTTTAAAGCTTTTCTTAATTGAAAAATCCTATTTTGCAACAGAGACATTTTACCTAGAATCCGTAAAAAGAATTAGTTTTTCTAGAATTTAACAACCAGCTGGCAAGCAATATCCAACAACTGGCCCAAGAAGACACCTGTTCACTGAAGAGTTTCTCTCCTTGCCCCCACCCCCACTAATTATGTTTGGGTCCAAGACAAGCCAATGAGGTCCCTAAAAGAAAAGGGTGAGGTCCCTACAAGAGAGCGGTGATGTGTTACCGGCCATCAGGTTTTCTCTTGGACACAGGGTCCCTTCCTCGTGGGCAGCAGGAGCTGTTGTTAGGCATCCTCTCCAGCGGTAGCATGTTTTCCTACTCTACAGGAGGGAGCAGCTCATCCACGTGGGGAAGGCATGGTGGGCGGGCAGTGGTGGGGTGGGGGTTACACTTACCCATGGGGGCTGCGTGCAGCCCCGTGGCCTGTCTTCAAGGACGAGCAACTGCCCATCTGCATCCACTGCTCTCTCCAGATTCTCAGCTCAAAGGCTCTAAACTTGACCCCACCGTCAGGCTGTGCAAAAATACTGCATAGGACTGTACACTTTCACTCCCACCACACTGCAGCCTGCTAACCACCCTGTCCTGTTCCTGCCAAACCGGATAAGGAGGCAGGACTAAAAGTTACATCTCGGCCACAGTGGACCATGCTGTCCCCAGCCTCACTCTGGCGTGACCCTACTCGCTCTGGGCAGGACTTCTGATCAGAGCCCAAGTCCCTGGGTGTTGCTGGGTTCCAAGGGCAGCCAGATGCCGGGAGACAATGGCTGCCCACAGATGCCCGTGGTAAGAATACACATCAGCATTTCTGATGGAGCGTCTACAGTGACACAGCCCTTTCCACAGTCCCATGGAACTCAGCAAATGCCAGTCATCATCCCCACCGGAAGGACAGGGAAGGAAGGCACAATCCTACACCCTGGCCAGGTCACAGGGTAGTGAGTGAGCCATTTAACCCAAGGCCACCGCCCCCAGCCACATCCTTGCAGGGTCATCCCCACTGGAAGGGTGGGGAGGCAGACTGCAATCCCATACCCTGGTCAGGTCACAGGGTGGTCGATGGGCCATTCAACCTGAGACCACCATCCCCCTGCTACACCCATGCAGGGTAATCCCTCCTGGAAGGGCAGGGAAGCAGGGTGCAATCCCATACCCTGGTCAGGTCACACGGTGGTCCGTGGGCCTTTCAACCCAAGGCCACCTGACTGACCACTGGCCACCACCCCCCACCAGTACATGCAGCCTCCCCTGCAGACATCCATTCCCACCCCACTGCCTGACTGGTAACACCTGCCGTTTCATCCTTGGGTGAAACAAAGCCTTTCTCAAATCGGCTTTTCACAGTGAGGACCACTAAGGGCTGGGAGGGAGCCAAGCGGACAGCGTGCACCCGGACATGGGCACAGGAATCTGCACCAAGTAGCCGACCCTGCCAGGCACCATCCTTCAAGTCCTAGGCACTGGTAAGAAGTAGTTCCTCTCAAAATTCACAACAATCACCACGCGGCACAGGTGAGCAAAGCCTAGATCCCCACAGGGAAGGAAACGCTTTCTCCCCAAAAGCCTCCTGGGGCTCCAGCTGAAGAACTGCACCCTCACCCTGTTATGGGCTGAATGCGTGTGTCCCCCCGAATCCGTATGCTGAAGCCTTAAACCCCAGTGCGATGGCATGAGGAAGTGGGGCCTCTGGGAGGCGGTCAGGTTTAGATGAGGTCATGGCAGTGAGGAGCATGATGGGATCAGCGCCCTTACAGGAAGGGAAGAGACCAGCCTTTCTCTCTCTCTCTCCGCCATGAGAGGCCACAGCGAGAAGGCAGTTGTCTGTAAGCCAGGAAGACAGCTCTCACCTGAGCCTGCCCTCACTGGCTCCCTCGTCTCGGACTCCCAGCCTCCAGAACTGCGAGACATAAACGACTATTGTTTAAGCCACTCAGTCTTCGGTGTTTTGTTAGAGTAGCCCCAGCTAAGACATCCTGGTGGCATAATGTCACCCACAAGACATCCACCGTGCCAACTGCCAATCCCGGGAGATATCAGAAGGCTCTATCCTTCTCCTCTTCTGCCCGCAGGTTGCCCAGAGATGCAGGTCAAATCGCTCTAACGGTACCAAACAGATATCACCATAAAGTTCAGCTTTCCAGCTTACAGAGAAAATAGGCTCGGGCGCAAAGGCCAGGACGTCCTCCCTTCCTCTCATCTTGCTTGTCTTTCCCACTCCGCCATCTTCACACACCTTTCAGCCTCTCCCCTGCCTTGTGGCCAGCCTCTTCATCGGCATCACCCCGTCGCTGCAATCGCTCCCTCATCAGGGCCAGCATCCTCCAAGCACTCATCATACTCAAGTCTCTCCCATCCAAAAACCTGGCCTTCCTCATGGGCCGTCTCCCTTCCCTCCCCACCTTGGTTTCTCCAGGGTGTCTCCCATTCTCTTGTGTCCTCTCCTTCCTCACCAGCACCATCACCACCATCACACCTCCTGTGAACCATGAGATTGGTATTATCAAGACCCCACAGGCACAGAGAGGCTGAGCGTCTTACGGAGGAGAGGTACCTCGGAGCTGGTACACACAGAAGCCCAGGAGGTCTAAGTCCAATGCGTCCACTCCTTACCACCTTTTTACCAAAACCAGTGACCTCTCCAAATCCTCAACAGACGTGACATTCTCGCCACTCCATCTGGACTCCCTGTACATAGCTCCAGCTTCTAACAGAGCCTGGCCTAAGGCGGGCATACGAACAATGTTTACTGACATTTAAGGAACTGCCAGGAAGCCTCATCACCCCTAAACAGACTCTAAGCCTCTTGAGGAAATGTTCTAGGATTCTCAGAGCCCAGTCAGCCTCTAGGAATCAAAAAGACTGTACATCCTGATTACATCCGATGTATTCAAAAACCAAGCTGTGCCTCTCTGGCGAACATCCAGAAGTTTGACAACACCCTGTTGGGAAAGAGGCACTCACATATATTGCTGGTGGCATACTCATTATGGATGGGAATTTGGCAACCTTTAGCAAAACTACATGCACATTACCCTTTTGACTTAGCAATCCTCCTTTCTAGGCATCTATCCCAAAAATACATTGACAAGAAATAAGAAAAAGATAGATGTAGAC